TTTGAGCTGAATGACCCTGGATCGATTCGTGGGTTGAAGTCTGCGCTCGAGGGCTGTCCAAACATCGTGAGCGGTGCGAAGCGTAATGATGTAAGGCAAGATGGCCGGTGAGATTGTTGATAGCAGAGCGGACACAAGATTACGATCGACGAGCGTCCAGCGATTCCGATTTGTTTCTTCGGAATCCGGCAGACAAGAATTCTGTCCGGTGAGATGTTCGCCATAACCGTTTGCGGAGAAATGCTGGAGTAATTGGAGCCTCCAGATTGAGTAGTTTTCTGATGTGAGGGAGGTGGGAACAAGATTCTTGATATTGGATATCAAGAATTTTAGATGAGGAGGAATTAAAAACTCTGTGTCACGGTTGACGATAGCAGAGGAGGTCCGGCGAGATCTGGCGGAGTCTTCTTCCGCCATGGACAAGAGACGCGGTAGAGCTTTAGAGCTCTGATACCATGTGAATGTAAGCGGAAAGAGAGAAAGGCAGATGAGGCTGATGAAGGAGAAATAGATGGTTTATTATTATCTGTACTAAGTATTACATATACAATGACATATATATAGGTAACTAATACATGAAAGACAATTCTGGAATGCTGACGTGGCAACAGTCGTGATGGAGGCTTAACAATATATAGGCCACCACAACACGAACATGAAGAGGCAATGATGTTTTTGTTTTGGGGTGTTCGAGGATGGTGGCATGTGTCCTAATACAAATCATCTTAAAAAATGCTATATTTTTGCCAGGTGCCCCTAAAACCAGTGGCCACTTGGTCTAATTTGCAGATCATTCTTTAGAATTGAACGTAAAAGAAGCAATATGACAAAGAATAGCAGCTAATAATAAAGAAGAGAATATTTTCTGCTGGGGAATAACAATAAGGAAGAAGGCTTTTTTCATTGCCTCCAATTTTTTTGCCATTAATATCTGGTGTTGCCTTTTTTTTTTTTCGAGAATAAAATTAATTATTTCTTCAGCTGAAAGCTTATCATCATGGAAACTCAATAAACCACCTTTTTTTTCTCAATAATCCACCTTTGAAGCTTCATTTATTCCTTCTTTCAACATTGAAATTTGTGTTTCGGCTACAGATAATTTTATATATTTGTCTTCATTATATGATTATAATTGTATGTATAAGTTGCTTATGATTTATGAATTGAATAATGCTTATGCTCCAAGAAAAAAATTTAGTATTTAAAAATGACACTTTGCTTTAAAAATTGTTTCAAAACTCCATTTTAGAAAATAATTTATTAAGAAATAAAAAAAAGCTTAATTTTTTTCATTCGATTTTGTTTGGGATAGTTTTTTCATACTAAGCCTAAATAAAATGAATGAATTTTAAGCACTTAGGAAAAACCATTTAAAAAATTACCACTCGATCACAAATAGTAAATGTGTCAAAACGGGTTGATGGGTCGGGTTTGGATTTGACCCAAAATTGACCCAACCTAAATCTAATTAACTTGAACCTGACCGGTTTAATAAAAGAGTGTGAGTTGGTGTAATAATGAAAGAGGAGGAGCTTTGCGGAGTGGACATTGGCCAATTTCAATCGAAGCACCATAAAAATCTGATTTGTATGGTTTTTATTTTCTTGCATTTACTTTTTTGTACTTTGGTTTAGTTTGCTTATCATTGGGAAAGTCGTGGTTGAAAATTTTCTGATTGAAATATTGTTTAAATGTAAAAAGATAAAAAACATTTTCTAAAAGATTAAAAAATTAAAAAAATAGCTTTCTACTTTTTGTTTGAAAATTTATTTTCTTAAAGCACCGCATATTACTCACATTTCAAGAAAAAATTAAAATAATAATTTACCCTCCTCTTGGTGTGCCATAGCAATTTCAAAAACACGAAGATTACATTCACAAATAAAAATTTAAGGGAAAAATATATTAAATGAATCATTTGCGGGTAAAAATGGGTTGGTGAGTCAACTCAAATTTGATCCACTTATCAAATGGGTTAAAAAAATCCATACATGTATCATCTCATTTAGTAAACAGGTCAACTTAAATCTAAATTTTTTAGATCAAAATTAGGAGTAAAATGACATATAAGATCATCTTCTGTCAACCCTAAAAAACCTTCATTACAGGCCAAAGAAGCCTTCACTAACATCAAGCTACTACGACTAGGGGTATCAATATTTGGCACGACACGAAAATCCGACCCGAATCCACCGCAGATTTTCGGGTAGACCCGACTCGTTCCAAAATGGGTCAGGTTCGGGTTCCGGATTCGACCCGTTTGAAAAACGAGTCGGGTTTGGGTTGACCGACGAGTCTTTGACGGACCATGCCCCACGGGACAGGCCCGCGAACCCCGCTCCGCTGCGCCGTCAATGCCCCGCGCTACCCGACCCGCCTCTGACGCGAACCCGCCTGGGCTACGCGGACCACTGCCGCCCGCACGACCCGCCGCATCGCGCCGCGACAGCTTTCCGGCGGGTCGGGTCGGGTCTGGGTTCGCATTTCCGACCTGTTACCTAACCGGTCCGAGTAGGTGACTCGTTGAACCGGGTCAGTTCCAAATCCGATCCGAATCTGACCCTTAACCCGAAATTGACACCCCTAACTACGACCCCTTCAATCTTCACCTTCTCTTTATTTATTTCTATAAATATTTATTGGTTCATTATTTTCAACACCTACCGCGAAAAGGTAAGGAATATCCATTTTGAAGTCCTTGGAATCAAAACATGCACTAACGCAGCTTCCTTTCCCTTTCACTTGCTAAGCGGTTCAACGTTGTTGGCTACTTTTGTTTTATTGTTTCCATCGATTGTACGAATCTTTGACCTTATGAAGATTTGATTTTTTTAATAGGTTAATTTGTTATGCTTTGATTATGAGTCACGTGTCTTAAATTTCAAAACAAAATAAGCAAAAAGATATTTCGAATTTATATAATCTTGGTTATTTATTTTTGATACGTCATCACAAAATTAGCTTGTTTGGGCACGAATCTCGAAGCAAAAGCTAGTTGGAAACTTTAAAGGTTATTTATTTTATTGAAAAAAAAGAAAATTTAAATGCTCATTTTAATCGAAGTTATTTGGTCGTATTCGTAAATTGTTTGTTGATGCCCGATATTAAAAAAATAGTTTCCAACTTCTTCGAATTCCAACCTTAAATAGCTTGAAACGTCTTATTTTGATTTGAATTGCATTTGAACCAATTCGAAACCTAGGTTCGAACCTTTCTTGATGGAGGTCACTGGACCGTAGGCCTTCGATAATCTCATCCCTAAAAATCTAGCTATTTCACCTAATAATTTGATCAATTGCTGTCATTTGACGCAACTTGGCCCAATTGAACTCAAATAGATTCACTAGAGCCAAATTAATCGTAATCCTTAAATTTGTTCGGTTTATTAGGTATGAGATTACCTTGGGATGTCTTTGACCTAAACTAATCTTAGTCAACCCACTTGACCCTTGGGACATCTTGACCCAAGTGTCCAAATTGCATCAAAATGACCAACTCAACGCATTGTGTCTAATGAGCTATCTATTTTTTGTTTGATTTTGGAAGTAATTTTTGGCTTTTCGGACAAACATATTAAAGATAAAAGCTAGTCAACCCAATCATATTTTATCATTATCAATCAAAGCTTGGCCCCCTTTTATCTTTTATACTATATATATACTATAATTCTAAAATTTGAAGTATTTCTTCACACCATATTTCTTATTATAATCTTGCCCTTAGTATTTTTTTTCTTCTCGAGATGGGAAAAGCCTACGGGAATTATCTCTTTATATTCCTTGAACATATTGTAAACTCTTAAACAGACCATACAATGAATGTAAACTGTATGGCCAAAATCACTATAAAACCTCGTATACTTTTTATGTGGCTTATCTTTATCTTTCCTTTTCAATGAATAAATTTAGGGAACAATGATTTTCCAATCTCCGGTACTTCTTAAGTTAATGTTATCCACAACTAATATCAATGGGGAAAGTCGAATATCAGTGAAGGTTAGTGATAGACTCGATAATTTTCTTAATATGAGTGGAGTTCAATCGTTCAGGAAAACAAGCATCTGATGTTGGTGGCTGATGAGTGTTAAACGGTGCTGACGACATGCATCTATGTTGGTTGATGGGCTATGATGGCGGTGGGCGTCAATATGATCAATGAATTTATCAAGCAACAATGGGTAGAAATATAACATATTTAAATATCTCAACGCCTTCATGAAATCAAAATTAAATAATCTTGAATTCATCAAATTCATCTCATATATTTCCATACAAAATTAAGAAGGTATTTGATCACTTAAATAACCTCGAGTAATTTTATTTTTTCTCTAACAGCTTGATTCGTTCATTTTGACTTTGATCATCTCTAAATTTTATATATTGTTGGTTTTATTTCTTCGATGGTCTGATTATGAATTTTAAGAGAATGAAGTCTAAAAAATTTCAAATAGTTTCAAATTAAAAGTTATGTTAATTAAATAAGTTTTATAATACCTTATCAATAAAGACAATAATATAAAAAAATATATGATTTATATTGAATTTATTAATTTAAAATAACCTATATGCTAAAATTAATAATTAATTTAAAATAACCTATATGTTAAAATTAATAAAAAAAAAAAAAGCCATCCTACACGCGAACAAAAAACGGAGCCCATGTCTCCGACTACCTACCACTTTTCACCTAATTTCCTTTACCAAATTGTGATTTAATTAATTAAGTTTATATTATATTCATCTTAAATTATTATTTTTTTTAAATTCTTTTTAAAGGGTTTAGCTCATTCCGATTATATCTAATTATCATATTAATTATTAATAAGTTTTAATTTCAAACATTTTATTTATTTATTAACTTGAAATATCTTATAACATAAAATTAATAAATAAATAAAATTAATTCAAAATATTAAATAAATTGAATGATTGAGATTAAAGAACTCCACCATCTAATTAGTCCAATTAATATATATATATATATAACCAGTTCTCTGCCGATCCTCGTGTGGCATTTTTTCCTTTCTCGAGTTCTCTTTCGTCTCTACTTCTCCTCTCTCTGCTATGGCCGCCACCGCCGCCGCTGCCGCCGCCGCCGCCGCCGGCGTCGTTGGTTCTGCCTCGCATCACTCCCGCATCCTCCAGTTCTCGTCCTCCTCCCGCCGTCGCCAACTCTGCATCTCATGCACCGCCGTCAGCCCCTCACCCATTCCCGCCTCCCTTGCGGCCGGCGACCGCGGCGTCTACAACTTCGCTGCTGGCCCCGCTACCCTACCTGAATCTGTCATCCTCAAAGCCCAATCCGAACTCTACAACTACCGCGGCTCAGGCATGAGCATCATGGAAATGAGCCACCGCGGCAAGGAATTCGACGCCGCCATCAAGAAAGCCGAATCCGATCTCCGCCGACTCCTTTCTATCTCTGATGACTTCGCTGTCCTCTTCCTCCAGGGTGGTGCTACCACCCAGTTCGCTGCCGTTCCCCTTAACCTCTGCAAGCCCGATGACCCTGCCGATTACATCATCACCGGATCTTGGAGCGATAAGGCCTATAAAGAAGCTCAGAAGTTCTGCAAACCTAACGTTGTTTGGTCTGGGAAATCCGAGAAGTATACGAAGATCCCGTCCTTTGATGCGATCCGGCAAAACCCAGATGCTAAATACCTCCATATCTGCGGGAATGAGACAATCCATGGGGTCGAGTACAAAGATTACCCCGAACCCAAGAACAAGAACTCGATTTTGGTTGCCGACATGTCATCAAATTTCTGCTCGAAGCCTGTAGATGTCTCAAAGTTCGGCTTGATCTATGCAGGGGCGCAGAAGAACGTCGGTCCTTCAGGCGTTACCATTGTCATCGTCCGGCGAGATCTCATTGGAGATCCGCAGCCAATCACCCCTGTAATGCTTGATTACAAGATCCACGCTGATAATGCTTCGCTCTACAACACTCCGCCATGTTTTGCGGTTTATATTTGCGCTCTGGTGTTTGAGGATCTACTCGATCAGGGTGGGCTTCAGGCCGTGGAGGAGAAGAATGCTAAGAAGGCGGGTATTCTCTATGAAGCCATTGAGAGAAGCGGTGGATTCTACGTGTGCCCTGTTGATAAATCTGTAAAGTCTTTGATGAATGTCCCGTTCACTTTGCAAAACTCGGATCTCGAGAAGAAGTTTATTGCAGAGGCTGCAAAGGAGGGAATGATTCAGCTCAAGGGGCATCGATCGGTGGGGGGAGTTCGGGCATCGATATACAATGCCATGCCGCTTGCCGGTGTGGAGAAGCTGGTTGCTTTCATGAAGGATTTCCAGGCCAGGCATCCTTGAGCATTATATTGAATCAGAATTCCACAGACATGTTTTTTCCTTGATATTGAAAGGTCATATTCGTCATTTGCAGTCTGTAATTTTTTTACTTGGATTCCAAATTCCAATCTCTATATGCTATTGTATTTCTCATGATCCTTGCTTCAAGTTTGCTGTTGTAGTTTTAACTGCGTTGCAAGTATTGCATTTAAGATGATATATACTTTGTTTGCTTTGGATCATGGATTTTTATTATGCTGTTGCTGATTTTTGGGTAATATTTCTGTTTGATTGCTTCCAACGAGGCTAATACTAAGAATGTTGTATTAATCTTTTTCTCGAGTACTAATACCTTCTATTGCTCTTGAATTAAGGATGCTATCTTTTGCTATTGATTTGCATTCTAAGGGGCTGTTTGGTAGCACCCAGGATTTGATTTAAATAGGATTTCGTAAATCCTCTAAATTTGGAATTTGGAAATCCTGAGGGGCCTAAGTCATGAAAACTGTTTGGTAACATTCATGATAATTCTTATTAAATACTGTGTAACTTTTTGGCTATAGAGTGGATCTGACGAGCAGACTCTTCCTCTCGAGCCAATGGTGATGTGAAACATACATGTGGAAGAGTTGCTTTGGATTGTAACAATAACTATTGAACATGAACGATGCTAATTAGTAACTTATGTTTCACCCAAGTTAAATTCGTAGAACTTTCATGAAAAGATTGAGTAATGGCAAGCGGTTACAAGAGATTTGCAAAACAATAACAATAACAACGAAAACAAGATAGTAGTACTAATAGCAAGTAAATAAGAATCTACAGTGTAACATCAAGATATAGTCACTAAGAGTTCCTTCTCATTCAATCACTCTTAAGCTTTAGCGGAGGAGGACGAAGCACACGAGGAAAGATATTACCACTAGGAAGATGATGCCAAGGATCTTCGTCGGTGGAGAGGTAGCCGGTGACCAACGATTATCCAACGACCCGGACGAATGTGCTCCTCGATTGATAGCGTCAGTTGATATAGGATGTGGTTGATGTATCCTTCGAGAGTCTCGTCATTGCCGAAGTACACATCAAAGAATGGAGATCCGAGAAAATATCCGTCCGTCCTTGCCCGTCGAAAACAAATCCGTGGTCGATCTCAGGATCGGCCATGCACCAACGATGAGATTGGGAGAGGAGGTTGTCTTCTTCTCTTGGCTTCAAGTTTCATGAGCAAACTAGGGTATCTCAAGAGAGGGGATGTAAGGGAAGGGGTGGCCAAGGTAGGAAGAAGGGGGAGGGGTGGCTTGGATGAGAGAGCTTAGGTTAGGTTGAAGAGAAGATGAATTTTTTAATCCAAATATAAAAGTAATTTCAGATTTTGAGTAAAATTGAAGGGAACTAATTTGAAATTTAAATTCAAATTAATTAGAGATGGAGCCTCATTAGGAAGCAAAGAGGACATTCCCCCTACATGTGGCCAGCAGCATTAAGAGGGAGAGGGGAGGGGATTATGGAGGAATTAAGCACTTTCCAAAGAAGTTGAGGCCAATTAGGAGGGAAAATAATAATTCCGCTCTAAATTAAATTTAGATTGGATTCAAATTTGAAAACTTTCCTTATTTAGAATTTTGTAAATATGGAAAGTTTTTGAATTTAAAAATTTTCTAACTCCTCCCTTTATTGCAAGAGCCAAATTAAGGGGTCATTATGATGAGTGAAATCATCATAATGATTTGGGATATGGATGGGGCTGGCGGTCAAAGAGGGAAGAAGAAAGAGACTTGGCGTCGGGTTGAGGTGGCCAAGAGCTAGGCCAGTGGGTGGTTTGGGAGGGGAATTTGGTGGGATCAAGGGGAGATATTTTTGTTGCAGGATGAAGGTGGAAGGATGAAGAGAAGCCGGCGGGTGATAACCGAAATAGAATAGATAACGTAAAAGAAAACCAGGAGCCACGGAATCTTCCGGTGACCGGTAGGTATTGCGCTTGCCCATACGTTGAGCTCTCCCTTCTCTCTAGTGCACTCACAAGAAGAAGAAGACAAAATAAAAATTCATTTAATCATTCATCATCCTTTTACAACACATTATACCACTATATATATGTCTCCAAACATGACAAAAGAAAAGTACATAATTGCCCTCCGGGCTACAACAATAAAACACTTCCCCAAGGGGCACATTTGGAAAACAACAAAATTAAATAAAACATAAAGAAATGCATCAAAAGTAGAGACGCTGAATCGTAGCTGTCGATCTACGATTCCGTCGCTGGTACACTTGTCTGAATCTCTGAACGATGTCCTCATCAAATGGATTTCAAAAAACAGGATTTTGGAAATCTGGGATTTAGCACGAAAAGGTGGAATTTTTCGTCTACAGCTTTCATTTGCCGTGAGATTTGGTTTTGCATTTTAGGTCGTTTGGCTGGATTTCACTCAAATCCGCCTCAAATCCGGCCTAAATCCTGCTACCAAACAGCCCCTAAGAGTAAGCAGGATGATGTACTCTGAACTTTTATCATTCAAGTTCGTTGCTTACGCATCCATTTCAGTATACGATCTCCTTAAATCTCACTAAAATATTTGCATTTCTTTTTAGAAATCATAACTTAAGGCCTTTAAATTTTCTCTCTTAAAAGGCTACAAATTGATTGGAGGCAAAGATTTTGGAAGCGGAATATAGGAATAGTTATTGGGTACAATGTAGGATTATGTATCTATCCTTCTGTTGAAGAGGCACAGAAGGAGCATAAATCGGCCCTTAATTCTAAGGACTTTGAGCCTCAGGTTTTCAATCCTTTAGGAGCTCCTCGACATAGCAACATGGTTGAGAGGTCTGAGGGGTTGCCATGCGATGTAGCTTCTTTGCTAGTACTCAAGCGGGCTATTGCCTGGAAGTAACTTTTCATGGTTAAGTGACTTGGAAAGTTGTCCACTTGTGCGTAAACAAATGGTGCCAACCACTGCATTCTTGTTGCCATGCCAAACATGCGCTTAGACTTGAGAACTATGAGGGGTTTTGAGATTTACAGTTTTATATATAGTGTAGAATTCAAAATTAGGTTTTGGTGAAATGGAAGTGTTTCAATATATTCAATTTTAATTTGCTAAGAAGTCATGATTTTGTAAGTCTAGATGTTTTTCTCTTACCAATCAATAAAAAAAAAATTTTCAATATGCATATTTGTGGCCATTGTTCTTGGCTTGAAAGACATTTTAGAGTCCCACAAAGGTCCATTTAACATTTAATCCTAACAAAAGTTTATAAAACATTGAAATGTAGGGTGCTCATATGTTTGATGAACCAAATCTTCTTTAAATTTCATTTTTTTTTTTCATTAAAGGTAATTACTTCTTAGTGTGGTTACTGCAAACTTTCAGGTCATTATTAGCCGGTAGTCTCAATACAAAATCATAGCTGTGAACTAGGAAAAAAAAAACATAATGCGGAAACTTAGTTGGAATAACACACTACTTTCGATGAAAATTTATATATAGATAGTTGTTCTTGATTCTCATCTTGGATAGTAGAAAACTAGGAGGCTAAAAAATATCATTGGTTTAGATAGTAAGTCTCCTGCGCCTTTGTGCTCTTACATTTATTTCTAGTGAAGTATAATCCGATGAAAGGTTTTTCATCGACATTTTTCTTTTCTAACTTGCTTGGATAGCCTGATTCAAGATTTGTATGTCTTACTTTACAACAACAATACAAGATATTATGCTGCAGTGTCTATAAGAGCAGAACTTTGGAGGGGGGAGGGATACCAAGAAGAAGGGTTGAAATAGCCGTGAAGGTTGATTAGTGTCCAAGTGCTTCGACAGTCGATTAGCCATCTTGCGGTGCTCCCTACAAATCCCAATAGCGGACCTCATCATTGGCCACCTGAGGGCTATACACATCCCTGATGTCCGTGTATCATCAATCTCCTTCTTTCTTTTTCATGGAAGTGCTCAATGTGGCCTAATTGTATGAGTTCTTTATCAAAGTATGTCTTAGAATTGTCAGTCCGCCTGTGGGACTGGCAATTCTGATTGCTTGGCTGGCTTGGACCTGTTCTGAACCAAGGCATTTCCAAATGAGAAAGATCATGCTGCTACTATCTGCAACTCTATGCTTTTGAGAGTGTTTTTTGGCTCGTCTGTTCTGATAGTTTCGGAGTCCGGAGACTAATGTTTCGTTTGGGACGGATTTCTTTCTATTTCTTAAAGCAATTTTTTAGTTCAAAAAATTTTAATTTGTTGAGATAACAGCTGGAAGGGGGAGGCCTGGAGTCTTTTGAGTGTTGCTGCTGTGTCGGGTTGGAAGGGCAATGATTCAGCTTTTGAACAATGAAATCATAATTAAAGCAAACATTTTGATATTCATTCTTACTCACTTGATTGGCAAAGTTGTTCCATAAGCCCCTAAACCCAGAATTTTATGGGCAATTGTTGACATTGTTTTTCGCACTTAAGGCTCTCGAGCATGTGTATTTTTCTTTGATTGAGGAGAATTTGAGCCTCGTCGGGCTTAGTTCGACTCGAATCGGCATTAATTTGGATTCAATCTCACTAAATAAATTGTATCAGAGTTGATTGAACCCAAATAGACTTGAGTCGAGTTAAATTGAGCCTAATTTAGGTTCAATTTTAAATCCAATCAAGTTAATTGATTCAAGATAGACTTCAATTGACTTTCTAGCTAGTTTGAATTCTTTTTTATATCAAGAAATTGATCAAACGACTTGAATCGAACGGTGAGAAGAGGGAGGGAGTGATATCATTGTAATGGAGAGCCTTGTAGTTTTATTCTTGATCACTTAATTGAAACTTCTAGTCCCATCTTAATAGTAAACATTGACCATCTGGCCTAACAACTTAAAAACTTATGATTGTTATCTTTATTTTATACTCTTCTCTATCTTTCTACCTTCACTTTATTTTAGGGATGCCCTTCTCTTTGTAAAAAAATTATTTAGCTTGAACACTTAGCCTCCCCATTTTTCTCTAAATCATCTCTCATCCCCCCTCTCCTATGAATGAACGAAAAATTATTCTGTGCGGACGCAGATGCATCTCTATGTTCGGATGCCGCTGTACCAAGTAGTACCTAGCCGCGGTATAGTAAACATGCGACGTGGTGCATTCTGATTGGTCTTTGGACGACGTTCAGTGTCCGCACATAATAAATTTTCCCTATGAACCTAGTGGGAAAAGACCCCTCTCATCCACTATTTTTTTGAAGAACTTCCATCCAATCACATGCT